GGAGTGCTCACGAACTCACCCCTCGCCTCAATGGTCCGGTTGGTGAAGGCGTGCTGCAGGAGGTCCTCCTTGCACTGCAATAGGTTGCAAATGTGTGACACAGTCTTGAGTTGAGCGATCACTGCCTGCCCATCCTCTTCATAAAAGCCTGTGTTTCCCATATGAAGAACTGAGGATACGATCGACAGAATGGTATTCTGTTCTTTCTCTCCAAAGTCAAACGCTTTGAAAGCATTCTTCACGACAGTATACTGTTTGGAGTCATCAGTTCCGGTGATCTCTTCGCTGTCGCCCTGATTCAGATAGAAATAGCTCTGAGGGTCTCTTCTCAAGAAGAGTTTGGTCAGAGTCTCGTCGTCGGCGCCGTTCAGTAACTCATAAAATATGTGGAAATTTCGTTCGCCTTTATTCTGATGAATAACTCGCGACTTCTCCAACAGATAGTTATTGATGTGTCCGCCCAATGGAGAGCCCAAGTAATCAAACTCAATGTCCATATACTTTCCAAAGCGACTCGAGTTGTCATTTCTGTTTGTCTTCGCGTTTCCGAACGCCTCTAATACTGGGTTTGAAAGAAGGAGTTTGTCTTTGACGGACTCAACGGTCGGGTTGTGATGACTGGCGGCCGCCAAATACTGGAGAATCTTTTTGGACGCCTCTGTCTTTCCTGAACCACTTTCGCCAGAGATTAAAATGCATTGATCTCTGGACTCCTCTCTCATCAAACGATAAGAGACGTCAGAAATTGCAAAACTACACGACAAATGACAAATGTATTCATGAATATAACAACTTTGAGAAAGTTTAGCAAATGGCTCAAAGTCTACGTACATATGTGGCGGCAACTCATAAAGGTTGACATTTCGGTACTTTTCAATGATCTCATTGGAATAAATATCCAAATTCTTGTACGGATTAACCGAAACCAAAACTTGTCCGATAAATGTCTGTTTGAATGCAAAGATATAAATATTTACTTAAAGCCAACAAAGACAACATTGCGAGACACCAAAAAATATTGAGTTCAGACTCACATAAATTAGATTTTCTTTGAAACGCTTTTTAAGATTATCGATGAAAGCGTTTGGATTCGTGTAGTCCTCTAATAAGACAAAGTCTTCAACGCCCACCCGATCCCTGGCGTGTAA